CTGCTGATTGGAGTCCAGTTAACATTTTATGTAACTTAGTCTTGAATATGTAAAAAAAAAAAAAAAAAAAAGACCAGTAAGTCATGCAAATACTGCCTACTGTTTTTCACCTACCATAAGGCAAAAGTGAAAAGGACTGATGACACCACTGATGGCAAGGGTGAAGAAAAACAAGTACTATATATCCCATCACCAACCTTACTAGAAAATAACTTAGTGCTACCCAATGCTATAAAAGAAGTACATCTCAGCAGTACATCACTTGCCTACCAAGTTCAAGGCCCTGAGTTCCATTCCCAGTACGAAAACAACAACAAAAAAGCACATCCATTTGACCTAATGATCCCAATTCGGGATGGCTAAAATACAGAAATAAAATCTGAATTACAAGTTTTAAAGATACACATACAAGCATATTAATTGCAGTGTTGTTTTTAGTGATAAAAAAAAAAAAACCCTTCAAATAACTTGTGTATCAAAAAAAGGAATGAGCTGGTGTAGTGGCACACATTTGTAATCCCAACACCCTGGAGGCAGAGACAGGAGGATAGTCACAAATTTGAGGCCAGCCTGGGCTACCTATTGAGTTCAAGGCCAGCCTGAACTATACAGCAAGACCCTGTCTCAAAAAAACAAAACAAAACAAAAACTCAAAAAGGAAAAGAAGAAAAAAAGAAATAGAAATGAATGAATAAGTTACGGTATATGCATTTTATAGAATGAGTATCAATAATGATTTGAGTGCTACTGCAAAGCATGTGAAGGGCTACAGTTCAATCATCAGCACTGTTTAAAAATTAATTTAAAAATAAAAGTGAAGGGACCAGCCAAATAGCTCAGTGGATTAAAACCATCTCCAAGCAGGCTCAGGGGCCAGGGGTTCGATCCCCAGGCATGCCATGCCGGCCCAGCCACTGGAGCGCACTGAGACGGCTATTGGGACTGGGCATGGTGGTGTATGCCTGTAATCCCAGCTCTTGGGAGGCTGTAAACAGGTGGATCACAAGTCTGATCTAGTAGTGAGACCCTGAACACCCTGTAGAACCTTCCCTAAAATACAAAAAAAATGTGGAAAAGAGGAATTTTTAAAAAATGGGACAGATCTAGAAGTGGTGGTTCAAGCCAATAATCCCAGCACTATAGGGGCACAGAGGCAGGAAGATTATAAACTCAAGTGAAGCCTGGACAATTCAATAATTTGGGTGAGAACCTTCTCAAATAAAGGAAGGGGACAGCTCAGAGCAAAGAATTTGGGTTCAGTCCAGTACCAGGATGGGAAATAGGGAAGGGGGTGTGTGGCTAAATGGTACAGTATTTGTCTAACATACGTGAAGTCCATCCCCGTGTGGGAGGTGGGGAGAGATGATTTATCTATGCCATACCATATTATTTTTTGTGTGTTTATGGTTTATTTTGCACTACTGGGGAATGAACCCGGTGCCTCATGCATACTAGATAAGCACTGTATCATTGAGCTATAGTCCTCCCTAGTCCTTTTAATTTTGACAGGGTGCCCAGACTGGTCTCAAACTTGCTATGCTCCTGTCTCAGCCTCTTTAATAGCTGGGATCAACAGGCATGCCTCACTATGCCTGACTGGTACAACATTAAATCAAGGCGGGGGGGGGGGGGGGAAGAAGGGGGGGGGGGGGGGGGGCGTGCAGGTGTAAATGACTTCAAGAGCTTATTCAAAACAGAAAATTCAAAAAAAAAAAAAAAAAAAAAAAAAAAAAAAAAAAAAAAAAAAAAAAAAAAAAAGGGGGGGGGGGGGGGGAGAAAAGGCCAGGTGTGGTGATGTACATCTGTAATCCCAGCACTCAGGAGTCTGAGGCATGAGGATTAACATGAGTTTAAGGAAGGCTTGGGCTATATAGAGTTCAAGGCAGCCTGAAGTACATAGGGGGAGACCTTGCCTCAAAACCAAACCAAACCAAACCAACAAACAAAAAAAACCAGGTGTGATTCCCCACACTTGGGATTTCAGCAATGGGAGCAAGGAACTATGGCAGGACGATCACAAGTTCAAGGCCATCCTGGGCTACACTGCACACAGGGAGACCTTGTCTCAAGGGGGAAAAAAGGAATTTTTTGCATACAGTTAGTATCCTTTGTATACAAGTATATGTTTTCAATTTTTTGTACAAGTATTTAAAAAGATGAGCAAAAAACCCTTCTTTGGTTAAGAGGTCAGGTAGAGGAGGGAGATTGCTGACTTTTATGCGTATAACTTTGACATCTTGCAAATAGCAAGTTTTACTTTTATAACAAAAAAAGTAAAATCTGTTTTTGTTTTATCTGTGTCTATCTACTCTAAGTACATGGTTGAGTCCCATGGTCTCTGCAACTTCCACGGGCCAATAAAGATGAAAAACAAAGAGGACAACTAGGATAGGAAAAAAATAAATAAATAAATAAATAAGACTACAGATAAATGCATAAAAACCCATTAAGGAAGTTTTGCAACAAGACATTAAAAAAAAAAAAAAGATCTATTTTGAAAGCCAACTACTCCATGAGAGATTGAGTTGGGGATTGCGAAATGTGGCTGAAGCCCTTTTCAATAAAACTCCCAATCAACAACTAACTTTCTTTTTTCTTTACATCTCATTTAAGACAGTGCAAGATTCTGGAAATAAAAAAAGGTTTCATTAAATGTTATCAATTGTATTATGAAGGACTTCTAAATGAAAAAGTATTTAGAAAGAGGATAATGGAGCCTAAAATTCTGAAGTGTGTTTTCAGTCATTTCAGGAACTTATTCATCCAACCCTCAATTACTCATCCCTAACAGGGGGCGCCCTGCAATGCATTGCTCAAAACCAAGCATGCCTGAAAACATCTTAAACATAACTGAAAGAAAATCTGCCCAATCACAAGCTAGCTGTTTGCAAACTCCACCCATGAATACAGGAAGAACACTTTTGATTGGAAGAGAGTTGTGTTTACTACAGTGTGGTACAAATTAGAAAGGTCCACATGCCCACGGTCCAAAGGAAATCTCTTCAATGAAAAAAGAAAACAAAGCGTCCTGTTCGTATCCTGTACCAGTCACTGTCATTAACAGAACTTCATAACAGTAGCAATTTATGCAAACTGATAAAAAAAAAAACCCTAAGCACGTTGAGTTTTGTTGTGGCTATTTTTTCATCTATGTTCCTGCATATATGCACGAAACAAACAATTCTATTCTCAAAACCCAAATTTGCCTTTGCCTTCTATAATCATAGTCTCATGCAAGACCTCAACACAATTCTAAGAACATCTTCCTTTAATTTCCAAGAATCACTGCAACTTCTACGTGGTTTGAGAACACTGTTCCAAGGGCCTACAAGTAAAATTATTCAGTCCTTAGCTTAGGTGTGCAGCATCTCAGGGAGCTTCAAAAGCCTCTGCCCTTAGGGAGCATAGCAAACAACAAAGTGAATGGGTAGCCATTTCAGGTGCAGAGCTCATTAGCGATTCATAGGGTCGAGGAAACAATGGTAGGAAGAACTGGAAAATAAAATCCCACCTGAAAATCGATAATGGTCCAATGCCTTAAGTCAAAGTTATGTCTATATGGGTGGATCACAAGCATGCTGTGCTTCCAAGGGTGAATTATGGATCTAACAACAACACCTTTATACTATCTCAGCCATCTTCTAAAGAAAGCACAGAGGAATTTCGGTAGTAATTCCCATCGTAATCATCCCTACCTCTTTATATTCCTGGTATCTTTTTACAAATTCTCTCCATGAAAGCCTCTTAAATGCCCTAGAAGCCTTTCTTCTAGACTATGGAGAAAGATCAAAGCAAGTCAACTCAAGCAGCAGAAGCAAAACCTAAGCCAAACAACCCATAAAGCTTGTATATCAGGAAAAAAAGACAGTCTAACACCGCTGATCAATAGGAAGAAAGACGAACATCAGAAATATCAGTACTGCTAAATCTCACAAAATGCGAACCTGTTTAGAGAGAATAAAACGTCTGTAGAAACAAGTTCATCAAGAAGATCGACCTCCTGCCTGCTGGAATTACATTTCAAAAGACCCATCTCCCCCTATTTTTCAGCCTTATTTCACCAGACGCTTGGCCAATAGCAGAATGAGGAACCGAGGTGGTTAGTCAAAACTGAGAGTATTTTGTCACCACATTAACAAAAATAATACATCATAGTCGTGAATGGCAGTTAACTTCTATTACTGCACAACTTGAATCATAAAATACACTAAGGCAAGCCACGGCCAGGACCCAAACAACACAAAGTTTCAAAACAAAACCTCTCCCAAGGCTTGAAGGAAGCAGGGAGTTGCTGAGCGGGCAGCAAAAAAGCACCACCCAGCAGCCCATTCGGCTCCTAAGACACATTTCAAACTTATCAAAAGCCCCAACTGCAGCTCCTGTCACCCAAAAGCTCAGAGAAAGAAGCTCAGGACAATCTCGAGGGCTGCCCTTTCGGACAGGGCCGAAGCCGACAAGCCCCGGTCAGAGGAGGAAGTAAGTGCTAGATTAAAAAAAAAAAAAAAAAAAGAAAGAAAAAAGTCCTGAGCAGCTCCAACTGCAGCCTCTGAGCCTCCCACCACTGCCCACATTCCCGCCCCACACCAGCCTCCAGAGGAGGAAAGGAGTCAGGCGCAGGAGTCCCGGGAGAGAGCGGGGACAAGAGGCCCGCATTTTCCAGGGGGCTGCCCGGGCACCCAGGACTCCGCGAGCTCGCTGGGCGTGTGGTGAGACGCCGAGCAAAGGGTTGCCCAGGAGGCGGGGCCTGCAAGCTGTGAGCTGCAGATCCCGGCGCCCCAGCTGCCCCCCCAGGGGTTCAGTGGGGCGCGCACCCCGACGCGGAAGCCATGCCGGCCAGAGCTCGGGGTGCCCAGGTGCCGGCGGGGGGCGCTGAGGAGATCGCGGGGTGCGGAACTGGGTCAAGCCTACCTCACCGCCCCCTCACAAAGGCCCCCGGGGAGGCCGCCTACAGACAGGCCCTGCAGCCCCGGCCTCGAGTGCCCGCGTCGGCCGCCACTCACCGCTAGGTCCTGGGGCACCGCCCCGCTCATGGCCCGCACCGTGCCGGCCCGCCAGGCCCGAGTGCGCAGCGAAGGCCCAGGATCTCCACCCGCCGCCGCCGCCGCCGCCGCCACTGGGGCCGAGGCTGAAGCTGAGGCCGCGGTGTCCGCGAACAGAAGCAGCAGCCGCTTGCCCACCGGGGAGGCTGCCGCGTCCGCCATTGCCAGGGCCGTCCGGACCCGCGCTCCCGCCCGCCGCCTCCCACCACCGCCGCCACCGAACGCCCGATCCGCCCGCAAGGCCTCCCTCCGCACCACCCGCGGCCGCCGTTCCCCCCCACCCCCCCAACAGCCACCACCAACCACCGGCGCTGCGCAGCGCCCCCAGTGGCCGGGAGCGGAGCCGCAGCCCAAGTTCCGCACAGCGCCCCCCGCGCCTCGGAGCGGTACGGCAGCTCCGGACCCCTCGCAGCGCTCCGCCCCAACCTTCTTAGGGCCTGCAGTGCCCCCTGCGGCCTGGAGGGGAATTGCAGGTTCGACGCGAGGGGTGGAGTGGGTTGTCCTTTAGACCCCCACGGCACCCTACCTGGTCAGTCTCCCTTCAGGAAGTCCCATCTCTGAGCATATTCAAGCAGTTTTTAACTTACCCTTTGTGAATACTAAAGACTTTTTTGGGGTACCAGGTATCTAACTCAGGTCCTTGCACTTGCCAGGCAGGCGCTTATGTCATTGAGCTATATCCCCATCCCTGACTAAAGACATTTAACGGGGTGAAAGGACAAGGGGCGAGGTATCTGGAGGGTAGGTATTTTGACCTAAGAAGTTAGGTGTTCTTGTTACCCCTTTCCCATCCTGAAAATATAACTACCCTCTCTGTCACCTTTTAAGAAACCGGTGTATAGGATACAGTATCTTCCCATTTTCAATGGGCGGTAAAATGGTTCCACCCTGTTCTACACACTAGTTCTCATTGGCCAATGCACTATATCCATTGGATACCAGTCTCTCCATTGACTAAAGGTCAACGTCTTGATGTTTTGTTTTGTTTTGTTGTTTTTTGCTGTTTTGCGGTACGGGGGATGAACTCAACATCTTGGTATTTTGCGTTAAACCCATGGGACTTTTTTCACTTTCTAATCTTGCAATGGTATTAACCTTAAATGGACCTTCACTTTTAGGAAACTGGAAAGAGACCTGTAACAGAGATTCTCTTCTTTGATTCAGTAGCACTTCATCTCACCATCTTATCATTGCGGCTGATGACAAAGAGTCCCACGATTCCTATCTAAATCCATATAGCCAAGCATGGTGACACACACCTGTAATCCCAGCACTTGGGAGGCTGAGGCAGGAGGATTGTTTCAAGTTTGAGGCCAGCCTGGGCACGTAGTGAGTTCAAAGCCAATCATAAAGAAAAGCCAGCCAATCTTAACTAGATAGCAAGTCCCTGTCTAAAAAAATCCCCCAAAATAAAAAATAGAAGTGCAAGATACTGGTTGCTACCAGTTAGAAGTCTATAGACATCCTGAGGTTTGTCTATAGACTAACCTATAGACAAATTTAATGTTGCTAATGTCAAACTGGCACATTCCTTGGTCGCATGGATGCAAAGAGAAAGATAAATTAAGCCATGACTATTGCTCTAAAAGTGGCTATTTCTTTCACCAATCTTCCCTACAGGCAGGTAAAATAAGTAGCTGGTTCTTTCTCCAAGGCATCTCTGCCTGCCCAGTTACCTGTTCTCCATGATAATGATATGGGCAAAATAACAGGCCCATAAGTTACAGCTGGAAATAGGAAAATTAACTGCTGGGGTTTTCTCTCATATAAAGCTTTACATTTCTCACAGAACCAGAGACAGAAATGTAGTGAGCTCACAAATGGGAAGGGCAAAGAAGTACCAACAAATATGGCAGGTATGTTTCATGTGCCAGGAACATTCCAAAATCTTGAGAACACTGATTAAAACAAAGCTTTAGTTCACATGGAGTTTACATTCTTTCCTATATTAGTAGTTCAGGATTAAAAAAATGATACCACATGTGGCCACACAAAAAATAAACAATGGGGGAGAAAAGAAAAACCCAACTATAGGACCAAGGATGTAACCCAGTAGGAGAGTATTTGCCTAGTATGTGTAAGGCCTTAGTTAACGTTCAGTCCCCAGCATCTCAAGGAAACAACAAAAGACCCAGCCAAGTATGAATTGTTATAAAAAAGTATTTTAGATGCTCAAATTTGACAGGCATAGTGGCACATAGCTATAATCACAGCATTCTGGGAGGCCTAGGCAATAGGATTATGAATTTTAGGACCATCTGACTACATACATTCAAGGCTGGTCTAGATTGTCTAACAAGAAATGGTATCCAAAGGAATAAAACAAAGAAAAAAAAAATGAAGAAAAACCAATGGGCATACGTGTAATCCCAACATTCTGGGAGGCTGAGGCAGGAAAATCACAAATTCAAACCCAGTGTGGGCAATTTTGCAAGAGCCTGTCCCATAATAAAAGGCCAGCAATGGTAGCTCAATGTGGAGGCCCTGGGTTCAGTCTCCTGAACTATTGCATTTGTTTTTACAAAAATGTAATTCTAGTCAGGCATGGTGGCACACATCTGTAATCCCAGCACTAGGGAGACTGAGACAGAATGATTTCTGAGAGTTTGAAGCCAGCCTGGGCTACAAAGTGAGTTCAAGGCCAGGCTGAACTAGATATTGAAACACTTTCTCTAAAAGACCAAAAAAAAAAAAAAAGTAATTCTAACCTTAACCACATACTGCACCCTATCCACCTCCAAAGCCTGTTTCCAGGCCTTCTCTCTGGAGTGTATTTTCACCTTTGCAAAAGTTCCTTCTCTAGGTAGTCAAGCCAGTCCTGTCTTCACGCACACTTCATTGGTATTCAATAATGAGTGCCACCAATTTGAAGCAGGAAACTAGGACATAGGCTAAGCAACTTGACTCTTCCTGCTGCCTGGCAAATCAACACCAACACTCCTGCCTGGCTCTCTAAGCAACTACATTTCACCCCCATACATTGTAAGAATGCTAACATAGGGAGAAGAAAGGTTGCAATAAAAGTCTAAGGACTTAAGCCACATAACTTCTTTTAGCAAACGAACACTCCAAATTGAAGCATTAGGGAAAATATCCTCTCCAGGACAAAAGTGAAGCTTTGCTGCTAGTAGAATTTTCCAAAAGCAGTATTCTTAGAAGCTGCATAGATCTGAATCTAAATTCTGGTGACTAAATCAACATCTCTCTAGGATATAACATGTGAGAACTTTTTTGAGAACTTTTTAATAAAAATTGTTTCCCACCCTCCCTTATCCCCATTGCCCAAAGTCTGTAACCCAATCTAGACACCTTTCCAACTATAGCACGTTTCTCAGGGAAATAGAAAGTATTAATATTTGATGTTGAATGGACTTGAGTCCATCTGGAAGACACCTGGAAGAGGGGAAAGGTAAGTACCAGGAAAGAAAATACCAAATCAGACCAGGGAAAATAACCACGGTCTTAACTGAGAGGTAAGAACTGATCTGCTGTGGTGAAAGGGACATTTTAGACGAAAGGGCAGAACGTAAGGTGGCCTTTTCCTTACTTCTGTCTTGCCTTTCTTTGTAGAGAAAGGAAAAAGACACTATAACACACAAAGTTGCTTGGGAAAATGGATTATTCTAATAAAACTTTATTTTTTTCAAACACAGCCACAGAGGCAGAACCTCATGTTTAACACACACAGACTTATGGATTTTTTTAATATAAAACAAAGTTTACGAAAATTTTTTTCCACTTTTTTTTTGTTTTTGTAATCCCGTTAGCACAGGGACTTTGGCAGCAGGTGGGAGTGGAAGGGCAGCTGGGGCTGCCACTGGGCAGTCACCGGGCACAGAAGAGCACCAGCCTGGGAGTGGCTTCACTCACACACACAGGGGTACTCACCTACCGGCCAGCCACACCACACACACAGCACAGATGCAGACGTCTACCCAGCATCAGCCACAAGCCCTAGAGGTGTGCTCCACTCTGGGCAAGCCCAATAGGTGAAAACCCAAAAAGTCAAAACAACTAAAGTAGAGGAATTTGCTTGCTTTACAAAAGAAGCAATCATAGGCTGCTTTTAAATGGTCAGCAGTCCAAATGCTTGGAAAAATAGCATTTGGCTTACAGAGAACTGTTGGGACAGATCTACTATATAAAGCAAAATGAACCACTTCTTGAAAAGGCTTGTTCCAGGGCCATGGATGCTTAGGGAAGCAAGATGATAGTACTGACTAGATTACCTTTCTAGGTTTAAAGTAATGGAATTAAAACATAACTGTAGGCCTTCTTCCCTAAGGATGACACCCTAGGGCCTTGGGGAAGCCAGGATGGAGAGACCCCCTAGGCACTGCCAGTGGCCTAATGGAAACTGGCACAGCCAACCTGCAGCAGACAGCCCAGGGATGAGGATGCCCCTGGAGGAAGAGCTGGCACCAGGGAAATTATGGCCTGACAAGGGAGAACCAGGGAGGGGTGAAAAGAAGGATGGGTAATTTGTGGGCTCAGTTCCCCTGGTTTCTCCAGAGAGCCTCTTTCAGGCCCCCAGAGATCTTATAGCCCAGTGCCAGCATGTGGTAACTAGCCAGGAGATGGGAGGAGCCCTAGAGGGGAGAGCTTCTGAGGACCACAGGCTCAAGACAAGAGGCTACTTTATAGTGGAGGCAGGGAGGCAGGAGCCTCACTGATGCTCCTTTCCAACATGTGGGCAACGCAGAAAATATCAGGCTTAATTCCACAAGAAACTAAAAACAGAGAGCTAGCTCTTTGTCCTTAACATGAGGAAATGGATCCTAAGACACCCTGAAAACTGAATAGAAAACTGCCTTTCTTGCAATAAACAGGAAGGGTGGGTCCAATTTGGTCACGCTGGGTCTAACCAAATCTGGACAAAGCCTCACAGGATACTGTGGCAGCAGCGTCAGTGTGCATGTACACTGGTGCCAGCCCTACCGAAGTATGTGCAATTTCAAACCCATTACTTAAACCCACACTGCAGCCACTGGGACTGCTGCCTCGGCTCAAGTTGTAGGTGAGAAACAAAAAAGGAAATTCAATCCAGCGATAATAAAGCCCCAGCTGCTTCTCACAGCCTTTGTTTTACACATCCTCAGCCAATCCTTCAGTCCGCCCCAACCTCTCTCTGTCTCTCAGGGCCAATTAAGAGTCAAATAAACATTTCCTGGCAGGAGTGGAAGACAAGCAAACTGTTAAATGCTGACCCCCCCACATGCACCTTTTTATTTTTCCTTCCCCCTCAAGCAGGTCAGAAAAGAAACTAGGTCTGGCTCTTGTAAGAATAGGCTTCCCTGCAGCCTGCTTCCAAGGGGCTGTTCCCTGTCTGCTGGGAACTAAAGTTTGCTGCACCTGCTCAAAGTCAGCCTCAACAAAATACAAGAGGCCAAGACAGGGCCTGCTTCCTTGCTCTGACCTGGAAGGTAAGGTCCTACCATGAAGAAGAGATATGAAGCCCTTCAGCCCTGCCTTAGTTGCCCAGATGTGCTCATACCTATTCAGAGCAAGAAAGGCAGGTTGTAGACAGTCTAGACAGTCTGATGAGAAAAAAGGCCAGCTCAGGTTAAATGTAGTGAACCGTGTGCAGCCCTCAAAACAAGATATATCTAGTGGGGAGGGCTTGGGACTGAAGAAAAGATCAGTATCCGAGGTCACACCAATTAAAAGACCCTGCTGTACTCCAAAACAGAATCCTTTGAAGCCAATAATGCTATGGATTACAAGCCTGGTTCCAGAGCTATTTAGAAAAAAGAAAAACTTGGAGCTCCCACCTTGACTCCTTGAACAAGCCTGCTGTCTTGTAAAAACTCAAGATCTTGGGGTAGCATGATCCTCTGCTGTTAAGGAGCAACTGCCTTCTTTCCCTAAGGCTATGCAATCATACCTTCCCACAAGTACACTCCCATGCACACGCACTCTCACACAGTTTCTCCAAGGAGGCTGACTGAACCCCCACCCTGGCCAAATTCTAAGACACAAGTGCCCTTTGAAGCAAAGGGGCTAGTGAAATTCCCCGAGCTGGGGTCAGCAGACCCCTTCCTTCCCTGCCCATTGCTCTCTCAAGGGCAGGGATACTCACACTCAGGGCCGCCATGGGAAGGGTCTGCTTTGGGGCCAGCCCTCACGCCACCAGCTGTTTGTCTTGTCCCGGCCAGTCTCCTGCCATGGTCAAGCTTGCTGGAGCGAGCTGATTTCCAGCTGCCCTGAGCCAGAGCTCTCCACTCACCCCCAATCCCAGGCTGGCCATCAGCCTTAGGGCCTCGACACTTGTTAGTAGCCGTAAGAGAGTCAGTCTGTGTGGCCCCAGGAAGCAGCCTCTCAGTTTTAGTTTTCCTCAATCAGATTCAAGTCCAGGTCCCCAAAGTCCTGCTGGCACAGTGTCCGCTTGCTCAACGCCTGGCGCCCCCACCGCACGGCTCCCTCTTCCTCCTCTTCACTTTCACTCAGCACCTGGGAGGAACCCCCAACGGGGCTGCAGGAAGCAGAGAGAGGTGGGGGGCTACAGGCCATGAACCATGGTGGAGAGACATTGCTGCCTTCTCGCGCTGTTTCTTGGAGACAGAGAGCTCCTGAGTATGGTTTCTGTCAAACAAACAAGAAAGTTAAGAAGACAAAGATACTAACTTCCTAGAATATCCCTAAGATATATTTCCAAGTGTCCCTCTTGGTTACACCTGAAGGAAAGAAATCTAAGTTTTAGGGTAACGTGGGTACTCCCTGATAAAATTTAGGAAAATGGACCCAGATGTGGTGGCACACACCTGTATCCCAGTACTCAGGAGGCTGAGGCAGGAGAATCACTATGAGTTTGAGGCCACCCTGGCTACATATAGCAAGACTCTGACTCAAAAAAAGACAGACAGACAGAGAGACAGAGAGAGAGAGAGAGAGAGAGAGAGAGAGAGAGAGAGAGAGAGAGGGAGGTTTAGTGTAGATGCACATTTCTCCGAGGGAAGAACTAAGTTTCCTCCAGATACAATAACAAAAAATTCATCAATAAATTCCATGCAGATAGGAACATAGTCTGCTTATTCTGCTACTTTAGTCTGCCTCTGTATACTTAAAGTATATACTGCTTTTTGTTTGTAGGTTGGTTTTGACACCCAGGGTCACACACATAGTAGGTAAGCAATTACTGTACAATTAAGATATACTCAAGTCTTTTTTAAATGTATTTAGTACAGGGTCCTCAGGGTCTCACTAACTACACAGACTAGACTTGTCTCCTGTTTTCAGCCTCCCAAGAGCTGGGATTACAGGCAGGTACCACCATGCTCAGTCTCAAAGGCTGTCTCAACGTGTCCTGGGGGTGGGGCTTGCATGGTTGAAATGCATGCCAGAACCCCAGTCCCTGCACCTGCCTAAGCAAGTCCTTTAATCCACTGAGCTATCTGGCCAGCCCTTACTTTTACGTCTTTAAAAAATTTTTATTTTAAATTGAGCATGGTGCAGGACCGGGGAGATGGCTCAGTAGAATAAGCGCTTCCCTGGCAAGTGCAAGGGCCTGAATTCAATCCCCGGTTCTGCAAAAAAAAAAAAAAATTGAGCATGGTAGTGAATGCCTGTAGCAATCAGAGCATTCTGGAGGCTGAGTCAGGGAGATCACCATCAGTTTAAGGCCAACCTAAACACAAAATGAGATCCTATGTCAAAAAACAACAAAATTTTATTTCGGGACAATCTCACTAAGTTGTCCAGGCTAGTGTTGAAGTTGTGCTCCTGCCTCAACTTCCCAAATAGCTAGGGTGACAAATATATGCCACCAAGACTGGCAGATTTTGGGCTTCAAAAAATGCTCACTGAGTTTGGTGGTCTAAGGTCCTGACAAGTGCAAGGACCTGAGTTTGATCCCCTGTACCACATGCCATGCTGGTCCCAGAACCTCAGTTTGGAACCTTGGATGTGCTATGCCAGCCACCAAAACCGGGTGTGGTGTCACATGCTATAACCCAAGAACGGGGGGGGGGCGGGGGGCAGCAGCTGCGACAGGAGGATCACTACAAGTCTAAGCTGCATAGTGAGATCCTGTTCCAAATAAATAAAAATTTGGGGCCAGGGAGATGGCTCAGTAGAATAACTGCTTCCCTGGCAAGTGCAAGGGTCTGAGTTCAATCCCTGGTTCCGCCAAACAAACAAACAAAAACCAACCAAACAAATATTTAAAAAATGCTTACTGCACACCTGGATGACTGTAGGAACACAAGAACAAATTTTCAAAAAGGTTTGTAACCTAGTAATCTAAAAGACAACTACAAAACAATTGGACAAGTTCATACAGTAACTGCATTCATACTAGGGGGCCAGAAAACATTTGTTGAACTGATGAACAATGTCACAGTCCATCCTGTACAACCTCTCACAGGCCCACTTGAAGCAGTAAAGGGCAAGTGGCTAAAAAACAGCTCTGATCCATGTAGCCTGCTCATAGTGCACTGATGACTCAGCTGTGAGTGACCTTCACCCACATCATGACATGTTACAGGCCGGACTTCACAAAGATTTCATTAAATCAAGTGGCGACAAAAATAATGGCAATTAAGAGTGCAGGACCACATGATAGGTGGGAAATATGCCGGCACCAAAATGCAAAAAATGTCTCTCTGTTTCACATGGGTGCATTAAGTGCATCCACTAAAGTGTATTAAATTATGAAGATCCACAATAGACACAACCACATCTTTTTTCCAAATGCACAAATCATTTGTACTCCGATTGGTCATTTAGCAGTAAACCTCGAGTTTACCTGTTTATAGAGGTGTTCACCTCACATGAGAAGACATCTACTTGGAGATGTACAAATACTTAATAAAATTTATATTATTTATCTTAAGTATACTAACAATAATGTTGTTTATATTTCATTATATATTTATGTTATTATTTTATAATTTAAGATGACTGTGTGTGATCCTTATCCGGCAGATGATCTTAATTGGGGCCTATTTTGGAGGTAGTTTTATATTACGAGTATCCTGAAAAATCACGAGAGGAATATTTTGCAGTTAGGTCTTACTTTTGGAAGAGAACAGTCCAAGTGTTCCATAGCAGTGGCTGTAATATTGGCACTTATTTCAACCGGGCCCCTGTTCTACACCCAATTACCAGCAGAAGTATTTTACAGATTAGAGAACATAGCAGGGCCACACATTAGCTTCTTGGCCTTGTGACCAGAATTTCAAGGAGTAGCTGGCTTGCATACATTCAAAAAGACAGTGTCCACAAACAGCACTTGCCCAGTGACCAGTGTCCTTTAAATCTGGTCCAGACAAACTTATAATGAGCCTTCAACTTAGCAAAAGTGTTAAAAACACACAGAACAGATTTCAGAAACACGGTACTAAATGCCTTCATTTTTTTCCCAAGAACACTACAATAGCATATTATATTTTTGAACATCACAGAGAAAATTGGTTTTGTGTTTCCACTGTGAAAAATGGGTATGTGAGGGCTGGAGAGATGGCTCAGTGGTCTAAAGCACCTACTTAGAACAAGCTTAGCAAAGCATCAGGGACCACGGTTCAATCCTCCAGCACCACATGCCAGCCAGCCCCGCCCCCTGGTGGGCTGAGCTGGCCACACACACACACCACACACTCTCTCTCTCT